TGAATGTACAATATTTAATTAATAATTTTTATATCGATTACATGTTTAAATGATAATATGTTGGATGTATTGGGTTAAATAAGACATTAAAATTAACCTGTTTTTCTTTACTTTTTAATATGACTTAGAAAATTTAAAACTATATATATGCCTTGAATTTGTGGTTTGCATTATATTTCTGTTGGGTAGTATAGCTATGTAGAAAAATTGTTGAGAACATATGCTCTATAGTCTGGATTTAATTCCTGGCTGTACTTTTTACTAGAAGTGTAATCCTAGGCTTTTTAAAAAAATGTCTTGCTTTACTTTTCTCTTCTATAAAATGAGAATAATAGTAATATTCGTTGCAAAGGTAAGTTGTGAAGCTAAAACAAGACGAAGAAGGTAAATATGTGGTACAATGGACAACTTATAGTGTTAATAAAAATTTAGCCATTATTGTGTTTTTGTTACTGTAGTATCAGATTTTATAGTTCAGTGGGTATTTTGTTTCTTAACATTTTCCTCCCCACTCTTAGTAATAGAATTCTGGACACTATAATTTGACTGGAGACATAAACATATTTATAAATTCTATAAAATAGGAAGAATATGTCATAGACAAATGCTCATGAGCTGCAGAAATGTTAATGCTTCTCCAAGATAATACTGTCTAAAATATTTCTATGGACTATGTGACAACTATGTAACCAAGCTTTACAACTGTAGTTCAGAAAAGAACTGTACAACCAAGAGTTGGTGTTGTGTTAGAAATACTGTTCCAGCACTTAAAAACTGGACACGAGACTTAATTCTGCCACTGTGTTCATCTGAAGTCCAGTTTCCCTCTTGTAAAATCATAAGGTTGGATTAGATAAGATAGGCCTATATGTTCTATGATTTTTTCCATATTAATGCTTGTATATCACATATTTTTAATTTACAGTACAGTTATCCTTAGATTTTTTAGTTCACATCAGAGTGACAGATGGTTAAAGGAAGTATAGAGTCATGGCAGGATAGAAGCACAGCTTTTTTATTCACCCAGAACATCTTACAAGATACATTAGGTTGTAGCTAAACTATTTTTTCCAGAATTGTTCTTAATTTTACTAGAATAAAATGGGTCTTCTGGTTATATTAAGGAATTATATATATATATATATGTGTGTGTGTGTGTGTGTGTGTGTGTGTGAATTATGGTTATAGTTTAATGGAAAGATTGCTGGACTTTAAAGAACACCTGGGTTTTCATAACAATCCTAGAAGAGAGCACTGGCAGTAATTTTTCTGACATTGGCCATATCAACATTTTTCTAGATAGGTCTCAGGAGGTGAGGGAAATAAAAAAAAAATAATAAACTGTTGGGACTACATCAAAATAAAAAGCTTCTGCACAGTAAAGGAAACAGTCAACAAAACTAAAAGGCAACCTACTGAATGCAGGAAGGTATTTGCAAATGACATACCCAATAAAGGGTTAGTATCCAAAATATAAAGAACTGGTACAACTCAACACCCCCAAAACAAATAATCCAATTAGGAAATGGGCAGAAGACATGAACAGACATTTCTTCAAAGAAGACATCCAGATGGCCAACAGACATATGAAAAGATACTCAACATCACTCATTATCAGGGAAATGCAAATCAAAACTACAAGGAGATACCATCTCACACTTGTCAGAATGGTTAAAATCAAAACACAAGAAATAAATGTTGGTGAGTTTATGGAGAAAAAGGAATCCTCATGCACTGTTGGTAGGAATGCAAATTGATGCAGCCACTGTGGAAAACAATAAGGAGGTTCCTCAGAAAGTTAAAAATAGAAGTACCCCACAGTCTAGTAATTGCATTACTGGTTATTTACCCCCAAAATACAAAAGTCCTAATTCAAAGAGATACATGCACCTGTATGTTTATAGCAGTATTATTTACAATAGCCAAATTATGGAGGCAGGCCAGGTGCCCATGGAAGGATGAATGGATAACGAAGATGTGATACACACACACACACACACACCCCACACCCCCCCTGGAATATTATTCAGCCGTAAAAAAAAGAATGAAATCTTGCCATTTGCAACAACGTGGATGGAGCTAGAGAGTATAATGCTAAGTGAAATAAGTCAGAGAAAGACAAATACCATATGATCTCACTCATATGTGGAATTTAAGAAACAAAACAAACGAGCAAAGGAAAAAAAGAGAAACCAAGAAACAGATTATTAACTCTAGAGAACAAACCAATAGTTACCAGAGGGGAGGGAGGTGGGCGAATGGGTGAAATTGGTGATGGGGATTAAGGAGTGCACTTGTTGTGATGAGCACTGGGTGTTGTACGGAATTGTTGAATCCCTGTATTGTACCCCTGAAACTAATATAATACTGTATGTTAACTATTCTGGAATTAAAATTAAAACTTAACAAAAAAATGCCTGGGTTTTAATTGAGCTTTGCTGCTAGATAAAATTAAGTAAATCCTAAACAAGTTTTCTTTGTTCTGATTTTTCTATAATGTAATAATGTGTAATACAGGATGTAACACCTCACCCAGAGTAGGTACTTGAGAAATAAAAGAAACTGATACATTCTGTCCTATTATACAGAATTTGCATTAGTACCTGTAAAAGTGCCACAGCGGAGAAGAATTTAAAATATCATATGAGAAATATTAAAATATATTCCTTTAAGATTTTATTTATTTATCTGAGAGACCAAGTGAGCAAGAGAGAGAGAGAGAGAGAGTACAAGCTGGGAGAGGGGCGGAGGGAGGGGGAGAAGCAGACTCCCCGCTGAGGGGGGAGCCTGATGTGGGACTCAGTCCCAGTACCCTGGGATCATGACCTCAGCCAAAGACAGACGCTTAACCAACTGAGCCACCCAGGCGCCCCAGAATATATTCTAAATTATATGATAAATATTATAAAGATCTGTCATTTTCCAGAAGCATCATACTCAGATCATTCTTGCAAGTTAGTTATTTCATTGTCAAAGAATAGTTGGTTTTTATGTTTCTTAAAGTATAGACTGTTGGGAAAGATGGAAAGCTCCCCAGTTCATCCTGTGAAGCTAGCACAACCTTAAACCTGTTAAAGTGAGTTTAAATCTAGTAAAGATAGTGTAGACACACATACCATTCATGTATGCACATGTAGGCACACACATATATAGACAGACATGTGTTGAAAGCCCAAATAAATTATTAGCTAATTGAATTCAAAAAATTGTATATGTGACCAGGAAGAGTTTATCTCAGGAATGTAAAAAATGGTTCTATATTATGAAACCTGCCCATAACTCATAATATTAGCATATTAGAGAAAAATTGATTATGTCAGTAGATGATTCTAAAAAGAGGGGGAAAACATGTGATACAAATCTGACAACTACACTCAGAAATGCAAATTAAAGCAACAATGAGAGAACATGTAGTACTGGCAGTATGTGGGGAAATGGGCACTCATACTTCAGTGGTAGTATGAATTATTACTTAGGAAAAACTGATACAGATGTAGTGAAAAGAAGGGCCACATGCACCCCGATGTTCATAGCAGCAATGTCCACAATAGCCAAACTGTGGAAGGAGCCAAGATGCCCTTCAACAGACGGATGGATAAAGAAGATGTGGTCCATATATACAATGGAATATTACTCAGCCATCAGAAAGGATGAATACCCAACATTTGTATCAACATGGATGGAACTGGAGGAGATTATGCTAAGTGAAATAAGTCAGAGAAAGAAAATTATCATATGGTTTCGCTTATTTGTGGAACATAAGGAATAGCACGGAGGACATTAGGAGAATGAAGGGGAAAATGAACGGGGGGAAATCAGAGGGAGAGATGAACCATGAGAGACTATGGACTCCAGGAATCAAACTGAGGGTTTTAGGGGAGGGGGGATGGGTGAGCCCAGTGATGAGTATTAAGGAGGGCAGGTGTTGCATGGAGCACTGGATGTTATATGCAAACAATGAATCCTGGAACACTACATCAAGAACTAATGATGTACTGTGTGGTGACTAAAGTAACATAATACAAAAATTATAAAAAAAAAAAAGAGGGGTGCCTGGGTGGCTCAGTTGGTTGGGCAACCACCTTCGGCCCGGGTCATGATCCTGGAGTCCTGGGATCAAGTCCCACATTGGGCTCCCTGCTCAGCGGGGAGTCTGCTTCTCTCTCTGACCCCCCCGCATGTGCTCTCTCTCTCTCTCTCTCAAATAAATAAATAAAATCTTTAAAACAAAAGGAAAAAAACCCCAAAAGCCCCATTTATTTAAAAAAAAAAAACTGATAATAGCTATTGAAATAAGATGCACATGATCCTTTGAGTACTCTCACTTTTAGGAATCATTTCTACAAAACACGGTATAATAGTATATACTATAATACTAATATATACTATTATGGTATATTAGGATATATTCAAGGATTTCTGTTTTGGAAACAACATGAATGACTGTTGATCACTTGCAGGGGTCATTGAATAAATTTTACATCTGTACCATGGAATATGGTACACCCATTAACCAAGAAGGATATCCATGGTAGTATTGTTATATTATTGGGGTGAGGAATAACAAATTATAGATTATTATGCACAATGTAGTCCATTTTTTGGTAAAAAGATGGAAAGTCTATATATGTTAACGTTTGTATGAGCAGTGGGAAATGTGTGGAAGGGACTGGGTTAAGAGGTGGTTGGATTGGTGAAGGGGGAAGTCATTAAGTTTTTCTTGATATGTTCTACAGTGTTTGACTTATTATGAAGAGCATTTGTTACCTTTGTAATACATTTAATGAAGGAAAAAATGCTAAATAAATAAATTCAAGGATAGGAGTTCTCAAGCTCCGTTGGCTAGAGACATGAAAAATAGAAAAATGTTATATATACCTTCTGTTGTAGAGAATACTTGAAATCATTTCTATTCATGACTATTAATCACAGATTACCTCTGAAAATAAAGGCATTTTATATTAACAGATGGTGGCTTTAATGAATTTTTTCTTTTATAGCAACTCCGTTCCAATATCCGAGAAATGGAAAAACTTTGTTTGAAGGTCCGTAAGGATGACCTAGTACTTCTGAAAAGAATGATAGATCCTGTTAAAGAAGAAGCATCAGCAGCAACAGCAGAATTTCTTCAACTCCATCTGGAATCTGTAGAAGAGCTTAAGAAACAATTTAATGATGAAGAAACTTTATTACAGCCTTCTTTGACCAGATCCATGACTGTTGGTGGTAACGTACTAAGTCTTATTCTTGATCATAGTAATGCAGTTAATTAAAATTCACCATCTTGTATAGCTATTGCAGATACATAACTTTCCAGGGATCACCTTCTGTTTCAGTATGTTGAATTCTTGGACCCTGAGAGTGCTTAGAAACGTACACCCTAGAAGTTTTGTAGGATAAAAATTTTGAAGCTATGCTGTGTAGAGTGGAACTTCCAGGCCTCAAGTACCTATTTGTCTATGTATTGAAAATAAAGGTTATAATGTTCCCTAGGGAGAATGTCATCCTTGATTGCAGAGGACACTCCCTTCGTGTCCAGGTGCAGGAGTAGCCTAATCAGGCATGCCTCTTTCTTTGGCATTCTGATTTTCTTTCATAGGGGATGTTAGATCCATCAGCTCACTTTTCTGAATTTAACTGACAACATTAAAAAATATATATATATATCTGCATTCATGCTATCAGCTTTTATGAAGTGATACTCAAAGAAACAGTCCAGCAAAACTTGTCATTAAATTTTTTAAGGATGTAATTGATAATTGTTAATTGCATTATAGTATTTCCTTTATAAGGAACCCTGAAAAAAAAATTACTGGTGTAATACATAATAGGACTTGAAAGCAGTTGGTCTTTTTTTAATCCTATGGGTATTGGATGGCATATCCAATCCAAACTGATGAGGTTTCCCTGCTTGAGTTATTTACTGGAATGCTTATGTCTGAATATTTTTAACTACCAAAAGCCGAAGTTTTTAACTGTCCTGGCTTTATTTTATAATTGCTCCCCTCATACTTCCTTTTTTGTTTCTCTTTTAATTTATGCTATCTTGTTATATTTTACATATGTTCCAAGATGCTTTAAATCTTAATGGTAAAGGTAGGGTATAAATAAGTTATAAATTAGAATAGAATCTGAGAGATGTTATACCTGCCTAGTTTTCATCTTTTCATATATGTAGGAGGCTCCTGTACCATCATCCCCTGTCTCCAAAACCAGATTATTTTTAACTTTAGGTTTTCAGTGTTAATGATCCAGTAATTTATAGGGAATTTGAAATTTAAAAATTGGAGGAAACATTTAGGCCATCATCCACAGATTCTTGGTAATCTTGCTTTTATTGTATCCTTAGTACCTAGCACATAGTACATAGTGGGCCATACGTAAATGTTTCATAAATGTGAATGAATAAATATCTTTTTAGAGACAATTTTGTAATTTCAGATGTACTATTCTCACTACACCCTGTGGATAACCAGTACCTAAAGTGTTGTTTTGGGGAGAAGGACATGTTAGCACTCAGCCCCTTGGTTGAAGAGTATTTGGGAAGAATGCTTTTTGATAGTTTGTAGTTACTGTTTACATTATTCTGTAATGTAAATATTACAGTATTTATCACCACCATATTGATGAGGCTAAATACTGCTCATATCATTTAGTGTGAACTGATACTTTATGTGCATGTATAGAGAAACTGGGCTTCCATGTGATTAAGCAGCTGTCCTGCTTAATCACCTAGACATTGTGACAATGTTTAATCACCTAGACAACCTTAATTACCTAGATATTGTGACAGTTGTGATGGTGGTAACAGCAGTGAAGATATGCTAGATTTTCTGGAGTTGCTGATACCAGTCTCTCTTGCTATTTAGTTTTGACTTGCCCATCACCAGCAATTCCCTGGCAAACAAAAATTTTGAGTTCTGAGAGTTTCTCACAATATAATACTATGCTAATACTTGCTTTAGTTTGCATTTTATTATTGCATTATTTGAGTTTCTGTCAGTAGGACTGTTTGGGCTCAACAAGCTTGGGTTTATATATCATCAGAGGAACTGGGTGATTATTAGAAGAAGGCAGTTGAACAGTTTGCTGGCAATTAAATTTCTCTGTAGGAAGCTGGCTGGTGTATATATATATAATCAAAATTTGAGGAAGCACGTATAGAGAGAACATGAAAAAGATTGAGGCAGAGCCAGAGGATGAAGAAGAAATGATGAAATTCATTTTCCAACTCTTGATTCTCAAATTTCTCAATTCATGGAACATCAAATTAGCTAAAGACCTAATCACTTGCCACTGAGAGAAACTACAAGATTAAAGATTAAATCTCTGTAGCTAGTGCTGATTTGATTGAGACGGTCATTGTAAGTTATACCTAAAACAATGTATAGAATTTCAAATTCCAAATGGTGTACTGGTGAAATGGTGCTTTGACTTTGAATCCATTGCCAACATTAAGCAATTAAAATGAACTGTCTCACCAAGTACCTGAGTATTTCACCAAATGTGAGAGTTTCTACTAGATTGCCTTAAATTGAGAAATAATATTAACAAATAATTGAGAGGATGGGAAAGAAGAATAATTAAAACAAAGCAACTAATTCACATAAGACCTTAATTGCGGGGTTGGAATTGAGTTCGCTCTATGTGTGGTCTTCTAGTTATGGACTCTTTTCTGTCATTCTGCATGTTTTTATCCTGTGCTTTCTGTTTTTTTTTGTTTTTGCTTTAGATGCTCATTATAGTAGTGACAGCCTATACAGAAAAAATGTGTTTGATTTGCACAGAAGTTAAGTGCCTTAAAATATTTCTTCCTTTAAAAATTCAATCTGATTCTAAATAAATTGGTTGGAAATATCAGCAGAGATTCAGGAGCAATGTTGCCACATTTCCATGAGTGAGATCAAAATACAAAAATAGTTTTTCACTTACAGATAGAAATAACAAGTAGAATAGGACGTTTTATGTTCTCTGGAGAGTAAAAGAAGCTTATTAAGTTTAGGGGGAAGCTGTGATGATTTTGCTGCTTCTTTTGTCCAGATTCTGAGAGTTCCTAAAGCAAATCTTCTTTGCCAATCTCGCTTGATCTGAGAAACTCCCTTCTGTCTCACTTGTGTGTCTACTTTCATTTTTAGCATATTGCTTCCCACCAAGAGAAGTGATGAACCTACAAATTTGATTTGTATTTAGAAAGGTGTATCAAGTCATATAGAGTGAATCAGTGCTTCTCTCCATCTTTGTCTTTCTTACTCCCCATCCAGCACATACAGTTCACCAGTGCAATAGGAACAGAATCTTATTACATTTTAAACAAATACTCACAAAAGAAAAGAATCCAATCTTAAAACCGCTGGAACTTCAGACCGCATATTGAATTTGATGAAATATCAGATTTTATCACAGGTATATATACATATAGTGAACAGTTTGTGAAGCACGTGGATAGTTTTGTATATTATTCAGAAGATATGTTTTCTGTTGGTTTTAATTTTCTTAAAAATCCTCCTTTGCAGCTAAGTTAAGCCATGACTTAGAAGTCATTTTATTTTGATAGATAGGTTCGTATAGATGATCAATAGATTAATTTCACTATTTTTAAGCTGTCAGAACATGAAAAATTCAGGAAATGCCTTTGAATTAATTTAGACTTATAATGAAACTTTTCCTAACATACTGAAGTTTAGTGAAAATTTCTTATATGTTGTGTTATAATTCTTAGTAGAATCATTGCCTTTCATGAAACATGGAAAGACAACGAATGTTTGGATGTATGGAGAGAAGGGAAAAGTCTTATGTCTGTGTTATTAGCTTCAACTAAAAATATCTTCATGTTTAAGTTTGTAGTCAATAATAAGGTTTTAAAACTGGAGTTTGAAAACTTCATGCCCACTTGCATTGTTTGCATGTGGATGGAACTATCTTAGATGACTTCATCATATAAAACAATAGCAATTTGACTTATATGCACAGGGTGAGTTCTTCATCCTTCTTTCCTGCAGCTATAATCTGTCTCTGTTTTCCATCATCATGTCTGTAGCAATTCCTAAAAGTTCAAAGTCAATGGATGTTCACTGAGGTAGTGATTTCTAATATAAGCTGGAATAAATGAATTATGAAAGTTGTAGAAATTAAAGGGCTTCTTTCTTAATTGTTATGCCTCAAATTGATTAGTGATGTTTAGAGTTGTAAGTTTACAGCAGGATTTTCCATGGAATAGAACAGATTTCTTTGTTCTAAGACTCCATTTGAACTAAGATGCATACGCAGTTTGGTTTCAAGTGAGACGTAAATGACTTAAACCCTTCTTATTTTTCACCAGGGGAAATCTTATGTTTGCTTAAAATGCCAAACATTTCCCACCCCTTCTTCATTTTTTAGATAAAGAATTTATGTATGACAATCTCCCCTGGCATACGTCATTTAAATCCTCTATAATAGTATAAAGGCTATGGCTTATAAAAATCCTTAGAGTGGATGTTGTAATTATAAAGTTCTGCTTTACATTTGGTCTGTTAATGATAAAGTTATCATTATTCAGTATCATCCTATTAAAGAAGTTGGAGTAGGAGTTGGAGTTCTCATTACAATAGAAATATTAAGTGGAAGAGCGGTCTTAGAATAATTCATTTATCTTGATTGATGTGAAAATTAAAGTGTCTTTATGTGATAAGTTAGGACATAGGGTAAATAACTCTTGATACTTGCCATAATGTTGTAATGTAAAACTTATTCTATCTGATGTTTTTGCTCTTCCTTTAAGATCAAAGGAAATGTATTCAGATAAGTTAAAATTCAAAATTAAAAGAACACTATCAATTCTGATAAGCCTACAAAATATTTTTTAGTCAGCCGACTATGCCCTTCCTAAACAATTTAAATAGATTATTTTCCTCGAGAGGTAAAAACATTCATAAATTTCAAAAGTAAAATAGCAATGCAGTTTTATAAAATAGGCTAGGATGAAAAAGAAATTGAGAAGATGAACTTACAGTTATGACTTCTAGGAGTAGATCAGGTGTCACATGTCATTATGTTATGTCCTTGCATATAACACTTCAATAGCTCTCCACTCTCTTCCAGACAGTCCAAAGTCTTTCACTGGTCTACAGTAAGGCTCCTCCTAACCATCTATGTAAAGTTCTGTGTTTGTAACTCTATGTCTTTTACTTTATCCTTTGGCAAGACCAATCTGCTGATTTTATGTTAAGCTTTATCTTTTCTTCTTTGAGGGCCTTTTTTATGCTGGTCTATGTAGAATTTATATTTTCTTTGTCTCATAAGATCACCTTTTTTAGGAAGCTGTCTCATAAACTGCACACCACACCAAGCTGGGTCAGATGCCTTCCCAAGCTTGGAACGCCCACAAAATATTGTTTGTATCTATATCTGTTTATCTAAATACAATTACACTCTCTTACTGTTTTAGGATTGTCTCTGTGTATGTCTGACTCTTCTAGAATATAAGTTCTTTGAGAACATCTCCTTTGTATTACTCATAAAAATTTTTCATCTTTGGTACCCAACACAATACATAATAGGTATCAGATAATATTAAAGTGGTAGGTATTTTGAGCTTGAAGTAAGGGGGACAAAAGGAATTACATGCCCACTGCCACTGTCCTAGAGCAGACCATCATTTTGCATTGGACATACTGCAGAGCCTCCCAACTGGTTTTTCACTCTCTAATTTTTTTTTTTTTTCACCTTTCAACTTCATCCTTCACACTACAGCTATGGTTCCCTTTCTAAATCTGAAATCTGATTATGGCACCCTCCAGCATCCCAGTAGTCTCCAACTCCTTTTAATAGTTCCATATTGATCTTATGAGAAAAACAGAATTCTTTAGCATAGTTACAATGCTATGAATAATGTCACCTTAGATTTCAAGTGACAAAACTTATATAAACTTTTGCTTTTCTCTTTCATAGTCTGTATTTCAGTTGAACTCTCTTCAGTTCCCAAACCTATGCATATATTAGTCTCTCTGACCTGAATACTCTCTGCTTTTCCTTCCACCTTTGCCCCAGTTCACCTATGTAATTTCTGTTCATCCTCAGGCTTCTGCTTCAAAACCTCCAACTGCTCTCCCCTCCCCAAGTCTTAGTTAAATACCTCTTTTCTGTTCTCACATAGTGTTCCATATTTACTCATATCATAGTTCTTACCTGGCTATACTGAACTTGCCTGTTAATATAGTGTATTGTACATAATATGGTAAGTTCCATTATTAATAGCTACAGTAGCAATGGCTATTTATTGTAGTAGTAACTATTAAGCCACTTATACTCAATATTTAAGCCAGGAACAGTGCAAAATAAATACCTATCACCTTGTTTTATTCTTATTTTTTTTAAGTTTTTATTCATTGAAATAATCTCTACACCCAGTGTGGAGCTCGAACTCACGACCCCAAGATCAAGAGTCACATGCTCTTGCAACTGAGCCAGCCAGGTGCCCCTTTCACCTTATTTTAAAAATGAGGAAAATGAGTCAAAGAGCTAGTCATTAGCCAGGATTCTAACCCAGGTCTTTCTGACTAGACCCGTGCTCTTAACCACTGTACTATGTTGACTCCCTGGAGCTGTTTTTGTGGTTTACCATTGTGTCTGTAGGATCTAAGTGTACTGAGTGGCATTTAGTAGGCATTCGATCCATATGAGTTGAATGAATGAATGGTAAAACCAGTACAAGGAAATAAAGACTTGAAGGTGGGGTTTGGAGTGTAAATTAATTCATCATCATAGCAGTTTTACTGAGAGGAAGGCCTTAGTGGGTTAATGACTTTTTAAAACTCAGAAAAGAAATAGAAGCAATGGAGACATGGGCTAGAAAAATGACTCTTAGAAGAAGGATAACAATATGTATGAAAAGATCCACACGGTAAGAGGTGTTCATTTGATGACAGATTTATTGTCACCCCAAATGACTGATTTTCATTGCAAAAAACACATCACTTTCCTACTTTTAACACCTTATGAATCTGGTATTTATTACTAAAATCCCCAAAGAAAAGGTTAATGATTTACATTGAAAGTGTGAAACCTGTTTCTAGTGGGTATCTCTACATGGAATATTAGCCACATAGAAGAGTTTTCCTTCAGTGCTGCTTCCGCATTGAGCTGTAGTTATTCAGATTGGGTAGGTGGCATTTGTAGCCATTTTTTGAGATGACTTTGTAGAATTAAAGAAAAAAATATTGGTTAACCTGGGAACAATCTGCCCATAGATATATCTATTTTTATAGAATAGTCAATTTACTTTGAGCCTGAATTCAGTTAGTTAGCATTTTACATGGGAATTGTTTTACAAAATTGATTTATGCTATCTGCTTTCTAACAAAGCACATAAACCCTAAACATGAGGCTGTGTTCATCCAGGAACATTTCACACTGCTGAGGCTGAAGCCGATCCTCAGAATATGACTCAGGTATATGCATTGCCTGAAATTCCTCGAGATCAAAATGCTGCAGAATCATGGGAAACCTTAGAAGCGGTATGTTAAAAATTATTTTCATTTTGTTAGCTGTGAGGCATAAAAGTAAGTAACTTCCTTTTCTTCTCTCTTTTTAAGGACTTAATTGAACTTAGCCAACTGGTCACTGATTTCTCTCTCCTAGTGAATGTAAGTATTATAATTGTTTTTGGCTCAGAGATGTTAGATTAATAGGATAAGAAGCTTTTATTAATTCCTACGCTTTTGATTAGAATTTTAATAGAAGTTACAATTTTTAAGACTGGTATTGAGCCATGGATAGAAGTCTAACAGTCCTCAGCCTCCAGATCAGTTTAATAAACATTTATCAAGCATTTGTTATATAAAAGGTCCTGTGTTAAACCTTGGCACCAGGGGTCTGACAAGGTTAGCTATGGAAATAAATGAGGCCTATTCTCTGCCTTTAAGGATTTATAGTGGGTGGAGATAAGTTTGGACCCCAAAAACTGAAATTTCAAGCATGAGTATTAAATGCAAAAATGAGGTATGAAGGGGAAGTATTATCAGCTCTAACAGAAGCATTTAATTCCAAGGGAGGGAGGCAGGGATTGTAAGGTGGAAGCATTAAGAATAGCTTCATGAGATAGGTAGCATTTGCTTGAGCCTTGAAAATTGAGTCAAATGTCAATAGATGGGAGTGGGGAAGGGTGCATTTGAAAACAGCTGAACAAAGACATGGAGTAGAGAAGTGTATGGCCTTTCAGGAATGACAAGTATTGCGGTATAACCAAAGCATGAGATACTATGGGCAAGCAAAGTAAGGAGTGTGAGTGCCTGACTGAGATGGCATTGAGGGCCATACCAAAGAATTTGCACTTTAATTTGTAGGCATTGAGGAGCCGATATGGATTTTTGAGCAGGTTAGAGTGATACGATCCAGTCTGGTTGAGAAGGATTACTGTTAGCAGTGTGAATAATGGCTTGGGGAAGGGAGCGATAATAGGCAGGATGACTAGTTAGGAATCAAGCAAGAGTTTCACCAAGAGCAATGGCAATACAAGTATAAAGGTAAAGGACAGCTGAGGGGCGTTTCTGGGTAGACTTAGTAGAAATGGAGGAAGATGGAAGAGTCAAACATTAAGGTTTTATTCTGCGTAATTGGGTAGCCAGTCTCATATTGTTAACATAGATGAGGAAACATAAAGTAGATTTGGTGGGAAAGACAGAATAGGTTTTCTGTCATTATTTTTCTAAATTATTCTTAGTTTCCTTCCCAGGAATTATAGGAAGGTTGGATATATGTGTGTATCTGTATGCACATACAGGAACAAACCTGTGTCTGCTCATGCTTCTGTCTAGGTTTAGTTCTTTGTTCTTGATCAAACCATGATCTGGGGGTTTTACATCTTTGAATTATGGTTTCCCTGACATCTGGCTTTCAAGTATAAGAGGTTCCTGGGTTATACAATCTCAGAATTGGAATTGGACAGGACTTACGAGGCCAGCGAATCTCATTCTTCTGTTCTTTTTTTTTTTTTTTTAAAGATTTTATTTATTTATTTGAGACAGAGAGAATGAGAGAGAGAAAGCACCTGAGAGGGGGGAGGGTCAGAGGCAGAAGCAGGCTCCCTGCCGAGCAGGGAGCCCGATGCGGGACTCGATCCAGGGACTCCAGGATCATGACCTGAGCCGAAGGCAGTCGCTTAACCAACTGAGCCACCCAGGCGCCCCTCATTATTCTGTTCTTGCCCCAGCTTCTCCTATAGATGGTTTTTTGCCTCTTCCTGAACAGTTACAGTGCAGGGATACTTTATACTTGAGCCATTCCATTTGGAGACTCTGCCTCGTAGAAGTTCTTCCTTATATAAACACTGCCCTATAATAACTTCCCTCTGGTGCTTTTGCCCTCTTGGAGCCGTATGCTGAACAAGTTTTGTCATATTTCCATATAAAATTTTTCAACTTTTTGAGACCAACATTATCCTTCCTCACCCTGTCCAACCTCATCATATTTTTTTCTTTTAAGAACTTTTAATTCTTTAATATGTTCCTTCTAGAATATGATTTCTAGGCTTTTCAATGCTAGTCCCTTCATCTGTTTGTTTTCTAGTTTTTGTATTTTTTCTTGAAATCTAATGCCTAAAATTGAACATCAGTAAATTGTTTAAAGCATTTTCCTTAGAAGCAAAATGCTTGAAGTTTCTGGATTAGGTATCTGTATAATCTATCCATATACTTGCATCTAAAAGGGAATGATAGAAGAATCCCCAAATATTTGTTGTTTCAGAATTGAGATTTATTCAGCTATTCTAACTCTCTGATCTAATGTAGTTTGTAAAATCTGTAGGTGTATGGTATATACAAATACATACATTTGTCAAAAGTCATTGATATCTACACATTAAAATGTGTGAGTTATAGGGCGCCTGGGTGGCTCAGATGGTTAAGCGTCTGCCTTCGGCTCAGGTCATGATCCCAGGGTCTTGGGATCGAGTCCCGCATCGGGCTCCCTGCTCCTTGGGAGCCTGCTTCTCCTTCTGCCTCTCTCTCTCTCTCATGAATAAATAAATAAAAATCTTAAAAAAAAAATGTGTGAGTTATAATGTATGTAAATTATACCTCAATAATAGTTGATTTAAGAAACAAACAAACATGTACAGAGTTCTTCTCATTCCAGACAAATACATTTCCCTTCCAGAGGGATAGGCACATGAAAGGAAAATTGAGGGCTTGCAGCCATTTAATAATTATATATCCGATTAGATTACGTAAGCAGCTCCTAACCCCTAATAATCTAAGGAAGATTTGTGTAGGAAGGCTTTGACTATAGCCATAGTTGTATACAAATGTCCTATTTATAATAATCTGTGTGAGGACATGGAACAGAATGTATTAGGCAAAAGCTCAAAGGAGAACCACTGATTACTGTTCCCGGGGTGATTGAGTTCTCACGACCACATGGTCAGGACTCACAGAAGCTCCATTTAGGCACCAAATGACTTGGGAACATAAGCAGAGTAACCACATCCTCTCATTATCATCACATGGACATGATAGTATCTAGACAAATTAACCATGTATTTTGGAGCACTTCCTGTGTGCATAGGACTGTGCTAATAAGTAAGCTCCGTGAAGAATAGAGAACAATTAAAAACAAAACAAAACCCTGTAGGATAGTCTTGATAATTGCGTAACATTGTGAATGTACTTAATGCTACTAAATTGCACACTAAAAATGGTTAAAACTGTAAATTTTATATTATGTATTTTTTACCATAATGAAAAATGAACCTACAAAGCCATCGAGAGGTCCAGGTGCAGTCCAGTAATAATATCTAAGCATCCTCCTTCAGTTTTCTTCAACTTTTATTGCTCAAGTGCCCTCTTCTCTTCCTGTACTTATGGAACTAGCCCTATTTCTTGTCAAGGGGAATTTAAAGAACTCTGGACCTGTCACTCAGTGGCATGTCACCCTTGCTGCTGGTCCAGTTTTGTCTCTACCTTCTACCTTATTCCCTAGGCATAAAAACTGGGTTGTAGTGGATTAGATCAGATCAGATCAATCGGATTTATTACCCACTTGACTTTAAGGATGTTGTTTGACGACAATGAACTTCGTAAAATTGATGGGAGGACTAAATGAGAATAACGTCTGTTACTTCCCATCCCCTTTCCTTCCACTGACTCCAACTGCATTCCTGTCTTTGTCCCTCCCTTATAGGATTCCCTCTTTGGCTCCTTGCTTAGAGTTCTACCACTGTTACCTTTAGACTTGTACTACTACTATAGTCTCTACAGTCCCCTCCTATTGCTGAATCCTGTGATATCGACATCCTACTTAGCTACTCTGTTTATTGCCTACTCCAGGCCAGTATTATCCTGGACTCTATATATAGTAGTGTTTGTATGTTTCTGGGCTTTTCTGTATGTATGATTTATTGCCTATGATTAAGAATTATAGATTAGGTACTTTTGGACTTCAGAACCAGGATAGCCCAGTGTTAACCTGGATTGGCCAAGATCTAAGACTAGAGCTAGCCTTGAAAAATGGCTGTAATTGAGAGTCAGGAATAAAGGAAAATAACCACTTTTGGCAATAGCTTCTTAAAGAAACCTGTAGCTTTTAGCACATTAATAAAACTGTACAACTACTAGCAGGACTCTCCAAGGGAGAGCATTTTTATTGATGTAAATAGATTTGGGGATGGATTTGTTGAAAGTATTACTGTTGCTTGATATAGAGGATGCTGGGTATACAAGTCTCCACAACAAGCATTCAAGGGAAAAACAGTTCATTAGTTTTGACTTCGGATGCCCAAATTGCATTCTGCTTGACCAACATTAATTTAATAAATCACATTTTTTCCCAGAATCTTAGATGCTCCTATAACTGCTTATTAAGATTCAGTTATTTTTTCAGAAAGAATATTAAGGGGACCTAATTCACTATTTTTTAAAATGAAATGCATAGACATATTCTTAGAGTCTTTTGAGAATTCTTTTTTCTTTTACTAAGGGAAGAGTCTTTATATTACTTTAGAGAAACACTAGTGTCTTTCATATATGGTTTAACTCCTTGTTAAAGGGGTGCTGAGAACATATATGAGGGGCCAAAGTCTAAAATGTCAAAAGGGGAGTTTGAAGATTATCAAGTGTGGGAGGCCCAGGCAGATGAAAGCAAACATAAGCAAATCAGAAGCAAAAAAGGGAGGTTGGTAGGTATAGGAAAATTATTTGGGGCCTGAGAAAAAGGAGACTATTGGCTATTTTCCCTCTACCCCTCAGCTCATCAAGATGTGGAGGTTGGTGATCACACCTGTGATTTATCTGTGAATACAGACTTTCAGGCAAGAATGGAAAGTGTTAGGGATCTCCCAAATAGAAACAATGATAGAAATTCAGTGTCAGAAATCCCAACAGGTTGGATGTTACTTGTGTTGGCACTTATGCTTCTATGGGTTGGAAGAAGAAAGCTAACATTAAAAAAGTTTATTGTCTGAGGAAAATAAAAAGTGAATAAATGAATGGCTAGAAGAGATCTAATGCCAAGAATTTTCAAGCCTCATAGGAAAAAGTTTAGTACACTTTTTAGAAAAGAAAGATTCTTGAGAAGATCAGGATGACTTTTTTCTCCTCACGCTCTACAGACCCTATCTCATTTTATCCTCACTTCACTTCTTTGAGGTATATCATCATCCTCACTTGAGAGATGAGAGTTTTGACAACTGGAGAGCTTGAATAATTTGTCCAAGGGCACACAGTGCTGGAATTTGAACACAGGACATCTGGCCAAGAAGGTTATGCCCTTAATCCAGTTGTGTACATATATTAGTGGTTTTTAAAGTGTGAGAATCATGGTCTTGCAGCATCACCTGGGAACTCATAAGACATGCAAATTCTCAGGCATCACCTGAAGTTCTATGGAATCAGAAACTCTGGAGGTGGGGGCGCCTGGGTGGCTCAGTTGGTTAAGCGACTGCCTTTGGCTCAGGTCATGATCCTGGAGTCACGGGATCGAGTCCCGCATCGGGCTCCCTGCTCGTCAGGGAGTCTGCTTCTCCCTCTGACCCTCCTCCCTCTCATGCTCTCTGTTTCTCATTCTCTCTCTCTCAAATAAATAAAATCTTAAAAAAAAAAAAAAAGATAAAAAAAAGAAAAAAGAAACTCTGGAGGTGGGACCCAGCAGTCCATGCTTTAATAAGTCTTCTGGGCAATTCTGGTGCTTACTCACATGTGAGAATCATTGTACTTGTCTTAGAAATGTTAAAAGGAAAACTGATAAAGGACTTTTTTAGGGGTTGTGTTAGAGATACCAAGATAGCAGTGGAGGATACAGGAATGAAGGGATACCATGAAAGGTCTACCAGGGAAAAGGTGCATACTTGGTGTATGAGAAGGGAAGGAATGTCAATAATGCTTAAGGAAGCAACTGTGGGGAAATAATTAGCTGTGTTGTGTTTCGTGTCCTTGAATGATGGTTGGAGTTAGAAGAGTGTTATATCTGATTCAGTGTAAGTTAAGAGGGCAATCAAATGCTTCAGGATTCAAGTTGAATTATTTCACAGTCATTGTAGAAGTGGGATTTAGCTGGGATCAAAGAAGGATTCTTTTCTTTTTTCTGTGAATTAAAAAAAAAAGAAAAACCTAGGGGCACCTGGGTGGCTCAGTCGGTTAAGTGTCCAACTCTGGGTTTTGGCTCAGATCATGATCTCAGGATCATGGAATCAAGCCCCATGTTGGGCTCTGCGCCCAGCATGGAGTCTGCTTAAGACTCTCCTTCCTCTCCCTCTCCCCCTCCCCACCAAATGCACATGCACTCTCTGTCTCTAAAATAAATAAATGAATTTTTAAAAACAAACAAAAAACCCCCTAGTCTGTATATTGATGTGATGGGGTTACTTGAGTTTTATACATTTGTCAGAATTCATCTTTCTGTACCCTTAAAATGGGTGCATATTATTGTATGTAAATTCTGTCTAAATTTTATTTAAAATGGGAATGTGTTCCTGTGGCAAGTAATGAGTTCCCATCATTGGAGGTGTTTGAGCTGAGGCTCAGTAACAACTAGTGAGAAATGTAGTGGGGCTTCACACCTCTGAGGGGAAGGTTATTCCTTCTACCCAGAGGTTCCATGAGTCACAGGTTCTGTTGTGTCAGCACAGGTGTTGCCGTTTGTAGAATGCTTTATTAATATCTTTGATCTGAAACATTTTAACTTGTAATGATTTTAAAATGTATTAAAGTGTACAGGTGTGAAACTCAGGACAGTAAATGCATTCATTGCTCCCTACTGCATATCACAAGTGGAAAGTTTTCATAACTGATCAAACCAAATTATATTCTCATTTTTAAAATGTAATCATTTATATTTATGGATCCAAGGGCATTTTACTCCGGCAAATTTACGTGTTTTAAATTTTTGACTCTTCAAAGAAGTTAAAGAGGTTTTTTTTTTTAAGATTTTATTTATTTATTTGACAGAGAGAGAGACAGCGAGAGAGAGAACACAAGCAGGGGGAGTGGGAGAGGGAGAAGCAGGCTTCCCGCGGAGCAGGGAGCCCAATGCGGGGCTCGATCCCAGGACCCTAGGATCATGACCTGAGCCGAAGGCAGATGCTTAACGACTGAGCCACCCAGGTGCCCCAGTTAAAGAGGTTTTTATGTTTGATTTTGTTTTTGTTTTTTATCATCAACCTCACCGCGACATGTAAATGCTTATTTGGATTTTTCTTCTCTTACAAAGAAGATTCATTTGGAGAATAATATGTTTGTATGTTTGAATGAGTTTTAGTCTGAGATGCTTTTTCCTATAAAGGTGCCACCCTTTTATTATCTAATAATTAAGTCACTTTTTTTCTTTATACAAGTGAATTTGTACTTTCGACATAGTTTATCAGACGTTATTAATGAACCACTCTTCAGACTGCAAGGCTGCAGTACACGGGATCCTGATTACAGGAATTAAAATAGTGTGTATTGGCTGAGTACTGCTCCCCAGCAGGACCGCTCACTCATAATTCCTTTGCATCTAGTCTCAGCAGGAGAAGATTGACAGCATTGAAGACCATGTCAACAGAGCTGCTGTGAATGTTGAAGAGGGAACCAAAAACTTGGGGAAGGTAAGATTCTGCTCCTGCTGACAAATCAATGGTACTCTGGCTCCCAGGAATCTCTAGTATTAACCCAATTGATCTGCTCTCTTTAATGTGGAAGGAACCAGCAATTAAGGAAATAAGGAACAAACGACACATAGTAGTGCAAGAAATCAATGACTGTTGTAATATTCTACTCTAAGATTCATTCTGTTGGGCGAGAAATTTTTTTAGGGTATAAACCAAAGCCCCGCTATAAGGCATTTTGGTGTTACAAGGCAATATTTGCAGAGGTTCAGGGAGTGAAGTAGAGAGTGTTGCCAGAATCCAGCAGGGGCAAGAGGGTAAGGATGTGACAGTACGTGGGGAGGGGGACCATCTCTTTCCCATAGAATATTGCTTTTTTTTAAAAAAAAGATTTTATTTATTTGAGACAGAATGAGAGAGACAGAGAGCACATGAGAGGGGGGAGGGTCAGAGGGAGAAGCAGACTCCCTGCCGAGCAGGGAGCCCGATGCGGGACTCGATCCAGGGACTCCAGGATCATGACCTGAGCCGAAGGCAGTCGCTCAACCGACTGAGCCACCCAGGCACCCTAGAATATTGCTTTTAACCCCAGGTATACAGCACAGGATAATCTCTATGCAACATAAAAGCTTTAGGGATATCTATAGCAGCTGAAACTGTTTAAATAAGTTTGCTAGATAGTTAGTGGATTGATTGTTTTGCAAGTAAAATCAATTTGTAGTAGTCCACTCTTTGTAGCTCATTTCTCCAAGTTCTGAGATGAGCAATTGTAGTACCTGTGGAATACTCCCCCCACCCCCCAATCTCTAAGGTTAATTATGTACCAAGAGTTAAAGAAGCATTGCCAGGAGTAATGAGAGGAAAATGCACATCACCACAGGCGGATATTCTCAACACAATTTCTAAATTGAATTTTTTTTTTTTTTTTTTTTACAGGCTGCAAAATACAAGCTGGCAGCTCTGCCTGTGGCAGGTGCACTCATCGGAGGAGTGGTGGGGGGTCCGATTGGCCTCCTTGCAGGCTTCAAAGTGGCAGGAATTGCAGCTGCACTTGGTGGTGGGGTGTTGGGCTTCACAGGTGGAAAATTGATACAAAGAAAGAAACAGAAAATGATGGAGAAGCTCACTTCCAGCTGTCCAGATCTTCCCAGCCAAACTGACAAAAAATGCAGTTAAAAACCAAACTTCAGTATTATTGGCACCAATATGTTTATCCTAATGAGGACCTTTGCTACTGTTGGACACTCAGTCAGCTTTTGGAACATGATTATGTCAAGATAGTGGCTGTAGATGCTCAAATGGGATTGAACTGTGATAAGTGGATATATCTTTTTGTTTGCTGGAGTGTTAGTGGAGATGTTAGAGATTGAGGAGCCTGGGTTGAGGGTGTGTAATGTTGTCAGGTAAAGTTTAAGGACTGCCAGGGAGCAGATTTTTGCCTGGAAATGTGAAAAATGAATTTATAACTTTGATAAGGACTTGAGATGTATGGATATGATGGATTATGGAAGACTAGTCTATTCCATAACCCTGACTTGGAGACCCTAAGGCTAAGTGTATTCTAAATATGCTTATTTATCTCCTAAATATAGGAGGTTATTTAGGCCTGTTAACAAAGAAAAGAATGGGGAGTTCAGGAGCCTTTCTTATCAAATAAGGAAATCAGGATCTAGTAAGGGGTGCAGATGAACTACAGAATGGAGTCCATTTGGTGAACCCTATTACAGTTTGGTCCACCTGTATTTTCTGGTGAAGGACACTAATAGTGTAAGAAAAAGGAAAGGGAGGTACAACTTCTCTTTGAGATACCTTAATTTGTGACACTGGCTTCTTCTGTGAGCTCCTCCTTCTGTCTCTTTAAATAAAGAACACAGAATCTCAAGTGATAGGGGACTATTAAGCCAGTCACTAAGCTTGGTCTGTCAGCCTGTCTCTTAACACCTCAAAGATCTAGTGCCCTCTGCCTTCCCTGCCTTGTAATTCTGCAAAGTTCTTTGGCTTGTGGGATGAATTCTACCCATGTGTAATGAGGACTTCTCATAATCTGCTTTCTTGTATTGTGTCCCATCTCTGTTCATCTTTTCCTGTAACCTTTAGGTTAAAGAGAGAAAGGAAGAGAAAGCTCCAAATATTTCCAACATTGTTAGAGTGTGAGGTAAAAAAATAAGCAGAAGACAGGGGGACACCAGCTCATTTCTTGGGGCATCTTAAAATTTCAAGAGACTGATGTACGGGCCACACAAGGAATCTCTGACCCTAAGTCTTTTCAGCTGGCCCTTTGGGGAGCTAAGAACTAGCTTTCTACCTCACTTCTGTTACTACCATCCTTTCCCCAGGCTTTGCTGTCTCTATGCTTTGCTTTACTTTTCACAGCTGTTATTTCTTCCTAAGAATGGCATTCTTGCTAGTCTTTTCTCACATTGAAGCTGATAGACAAAGCCTGGTGCCAAGACTGATCCTGATGAAGGATTTGTGGTGCTAACCCCAACACTTGACATTGATAGCAAGCATGGCCCAGCCCAATCCAGTGTCTATCTCAAATAGCCAAAACAGGTAGCCTCATCCTGTACCCCCAATTCATTTGAAATAGGAAGGAGCCACCTTTTGCCTTAATCTTTACCGTTTTCTGAGAGCAGAGAAATGGGCACCTTTACCACAAAATGTGTGAGCTCAGGAGCCAAACAGATTCCTCTGGTGGTTGAATGGTTTATCACTTCTCTCTCGTTGAGTTTACTCTTAATTTGTATTGTTTGCTTGCTACCTTTTACTTCTTTGTCTAATGTAGATAGACCTTTCTCTCACACTTTTTTGACTCTCACCAATGAAGTCTAATGAAGAGAAAGCACCGTTTCTTACTGGCATTAAATAACTGGAAAATATCAAGTATTGCTATCTGCTGACTTGTATCTTCAGTATGATGCCAAAAAGGAAGTGCTTTGAATAAGTGTCAGATTCTGATGCAGTATTTGATACTGGTACCTGTAAGGTTAGGGTAATTATTTTGGAACTCCACCTTCTTAAATATTTTCTGATCTTTGCTGTCCTTTAACACAGAGTATTCAAACCAGAACGAGGACTCATCCAGGGTGCTTATTTAAAACAAGATTGCTAAACTTCAGTCGCATTGGTAACTCTAACAATGGCCAGCCAGTCTGGCCTGGTCAGCTAAAATTATAAATTTAAAGTATAGTTACATCAAGATTCAGCTGTATCATTGAATTCTGTAATTTCCAAGTATTCTCCCCTTCAGTGTGGCCCAGTCTTCTTTGCTCCATATCATTCTCACTCTGCCAACCCACAACTGGCTACACTTTTTAGCCCACCATCTTTTTTTTTTTTTTAATGTTGATTTATTTATTTTAGAAAGAGAGAAACACAGCATGAGCGGGAGGGGCAGAGGGAGTCTTAAGCAGACTCCACACTGAGCGTAGAGTCTGATGCGGGGCTCAGTCTCACGACCCTGAGTTGTGAGACCAAGAGTCGGACGCTTAACCGACTGTGCCACCCAGGTGCCCCCTACCCTTAGCCCACCATCTTAGTGGCACTAGGGACTCATTACCCTATCAGGCTAGTTTTACATGGAAACTGGAGGAGAGAGGAGGCCTATTGTAATTGAAGCTTACATTTTGTTTGAGGATCTTGCATTTTTCATCAGCCAGTTTGGGATACCACTGTATGTGCTCATATAGGACTTTGATTTTTACTACTCATCAGGATTGGAATATTACTCCAGAAGTCTTCATGCTCAGGCAAATTGCCGTCCTTTTAAAAAGTTTTATAGTTTAAAATCATTTAGAAATTATATCTAATTTCCCCATAATAGAATCTAATAGCTAACTTTTTGTAGAAATTTCTAGAAGTGTTTAATCAACTATAAATTATATACCTATAAACTGTAAAGTGCTTAGAGGTATGAATTAGTTAATATGACACAGAAACCAATCTTAAACTGAATTTAATGCCCTAGGGTACCAGATTAAATTTATCTTCTCTGTGATTCATGTCTTATTTTTACTAGATTGAAGTTAGAAGATAAGGGTCACTTTGATTAAGTTCTTAAAATTTACAGAGGTACAAACTTCCAGTTATAAAATTAAATTACAGGGGTGAAAAGTACAGAATAGAGGGGGGAAATAGAGGTTCATTTGAATAAAAGTGCTTCTAAAGACCTTTTTTGTTTTTCTAAACTCTTTCTGATACAATAATCTGAGAATTTCTCTGTAGAGCAGAGACTTTGAAACTTTGTGGTTGTAACCCACAGTAAAAAATGCATTTATATAAAAACTCAGAATATGTATAATGGAGAATACCATTATGTGTAGTGTACTCTGATGTTTTTTATTTCAGTTTTTAAAATATTGCTGGTTGCAACCTACCAAATTGATTTCATAACCTACCAATGGGTTGTGACCCTTAGTTTGAAAAGAAGAAGACACCATATGGAGGAACGGATATTTATTGAATATCTTCTGTTTTCCAGGCACTTCACTAGGCATTTTACAGGTAAGGAAACTGAGTCTCAGAGAAGTTGAGTGACTTGCAGAGGGTTATTCAGCTGTAAAAGGTTGAAACCAGAGGGATGTTAACTAGGTCTCTTGAACTACAAAAATTTGTTACTCTCATACCATGCTGCTTCTGTATATAAAATTAAGGTAGGCCATTCATCCTGCTTCACCCAAATACTGGTATATTCCATAAGGCAGGCTTGCTGTGAAATTACATGTGCTGTTTATTTGCAGTTGTTGTTGTTTTTTTTTTAATCTTTTGTCGTGAAGTGTCCTACAGCCTCAAAGTTTTTAATAGTGGCTGATGTAGAAGGTACCTAGTGCTGAATTTGGTCCTTAGACTGTAAAATTAAAAATGTTTCCGTCCCACCTACACATCCCTACAAATTTCCTCGTATTCCATGGGTTATAGCCATCTCTTCAGCAGTGCTTTTTTGTATTGAAAATGAAATCTGTTTTTTTTTTTTAAATCTATCATAACTCAGAATCAAATGATTACTGTCTTTTTATTTTATTTTATTCTTTTTTTTTTAAAGATTTTATTTATTTGAGAGAGAAAATGAGAGAGAGAGCATGAGAGGGAGGAGGGTCAGAGGGAGAAGCAGACTCCCTGCTGAGCAGGGAGCCCGATGCGGGACTCGATCCCGGGACTCCAGGATCATGACCTGAGCCGAAGGCAGTCGCTTAACCAACTGAGCCACCCAGGCACCCCTGTCTTTTTAAAACGGTACTCCTGGGAAGCCACGTACTTACTGTAGGGATATTAGTATTACTTAGAACATTTTTGAAACTTTACTTTTGGAATTGCCTCCAAAGACATTTTGCAAACCACATAGAAAAGGCATCTCAGTGTTTATTAGTCACGGATTACACTCCCTTGTCCTTATGACCTCTCCTCTCTTCCATTCTCAGTTTTGCTTTTCTTCTGCTGGCTTAGCTCTCCTACCCACCTATGCTGGAGCCAATGACCTAAGGGTGCCCAGATGGGGGGTATGCTGGCCAGAGTTCCTGGAGCAAGAACTTTTAGTTTATAGTGAAGCTGAATGCTGTAAAGGGAGGATCCTACAAATCCAGAAACCTTTCTCTGTGGGCTGCCTGTAAGTGTTGTAAGTAGTTTGCACAGGACTAAGGACTGAATACTGGTAATATCAATCACAGGAAGGTGAGGAAGCCTAAAATGTAAGTATGTAATGTACAGCATTTCTCTGCAGTGAAGAACAGAAACTAAACCAAGCCATGCTTTGTGTTAACTTAAAACTGAAAGGTGTTTCTCAGGGTCTCCTTTGCCCTTCATTGCTGCCACATAAAAGCTGGGAGGAAGGATGATGAAAAGCCTGGGGAAAAGGCTCTCCTGTGAAATGGACATGTTCTTCTCTTGTATTATCTCTTGTATTAAAGTACAATGTGGCTTTGGATGTCAGGTACTTATGAATGTTGGACAATGTCCGTAAGGAGTCATAGGACTAATAAAAGGCAGGAAAGCTTCCCTGGGAGCCTAAATTAATGTAAACAGTTCAGGTTCTGTTTGTATTTTCAACAACATTTTGTTTCTAACAGGTGGTTCTTGCTATTTATATTCATTAATTTGACACCGTTTTACAGAGGAACTTCTTGGGTATTATAAACAATCAATGGCAAAAGATGAATATTATTATCCACATCACCACTCTCAAAGAAATTATTTGTTTTTGGAGATAAGAAATATATCTGTGCAAATTTAACAAAAGAAATAAATTGAATAAAAATTATTTGCCCAAGATCAAAGCTAGTTGGCACAACAGCTAGAATTATACCAAGGTCTAAGAAAAAAGAAAATACCCTCGAAGTAATTTAACTAAGGTTTTGTTATGCCATATCAAGTTGCATGCTGAGGCTTATGGTCTTTCAGACCAGCTTAAATTCCAGATGAGGCAATAGCTATAGTGAAAAGAAAATTGGATGGGGGATCAGGAGATCAGAGTGCTAATTTTGGCTCTCTCTCCCATGGTAAGCTTTTTCTCAGTGGTGGCTGCCTTCTCCTATTCCAGCCAGGGATTTGCCAACCATAAACCTCAGTGGTTAGCAACTTGACACTCTTTATTCTTCATATCTAGCCTCTTACTGGGTCCTGTCCATTCTACTTTGAATGTTAGTTGCATCTATTTATAAATATATTCATGGTCATCACTCTAGTAAAAAACTGTTACCTCACACCCCCCACCTCATTTCCCCCAACTTTAAGCCATTCCTCACATCAGTGCCACAAGAATGAGAACTAGGTCCCTCTTCCATTATTCTGCTGAAATATTTCCAGTGGCTCCCACTGAATACTCGATAAAGTTCAAATCCCGTAGGTTGGCATTCACAGCTTTCCATATTCTGGCCCCAGCTTTATCTCTTCAAACTCAACTACTCACCATCTGACAATGCCACTGAGAATCAGACATTCCATAAAAATGATTTTAAGGTGTTTCTATGGTGAAGTTAGGAACTGGTAATAAACTGTTTACATTTGTCTAGATGAAAATTCTGCAGTACTACATTTTACACAACTAGTCAGCCTAAAAGTTGTTTCTTAAGGAAAATCTTTTGTCCCCCCAGAAGAAATTACATTTAATTTCTTAACCTCTGAAACAATGTCAGTCTTGTCACCTGTGCTTCTGATAGCCAGAGCATGGGGATTTTTCTTCAGCAGCATAGATACTCCAGCCTTGAATGGACTATTGTCTAGCTCCTGTGAGAAACTTGACTAATAAATATTTGAGAAAAACAACTCAAGAGTACATGTTATTCATACACTTCTCAAGTACTTGAGATTTTCTTGTATTATGGTTAATCATTAAAAAGATGTTTACCTGGGTTTCATTAATTAAACCCCCTATTAAACCCTTGATGTTAGCAAGGGTCAGCACAAGAAAAGACCAGTGGTGAGAATTCTACAAATTCTGTAAAGCTTACTGAATTCATTATGTTGTTGAGTGGTGCTTGTATAAGGAAACATGCAATAAATTCATTCAACAAACACTGAATTGAATGCCTGTTGTGTGTTGCATGCCAGGGCCATATATAGAAAAATATTAGACCTGTAGAATCTACCCTTGTAAATCATTCAAGCTAATGAATTCAGGTACACAAAGCAAGTAAATCACAGGAACGTGGTTAAGTATCTTAAAAGAGGAATAAACAAAGTAGGATGAAGGTACCCAGAAGATGGAGTGATTTGCTGCCTGGAAGAGAAGGGGAAGGCTCTTAACAATGTGTTAAGAGGTAGGCATGGGATAGGATCTTGACCAAGGTCTCCAATACCCAAGTTCATGTACCTTTCCCAGTACCTCCAAGAAGGTTATGGCTGACTGAAGACAGAGTTGTGGGCTTTGAGGTGGCAGAGGAATTCCATGTACAAAGGGTTGAAAACACGAAAAAGCAGTGTGCTCAGAGAAAACCAAGGAATTAAACTTGTGAGTGATGAAGCTGGTAGGATGGAAATATCGACTGGGGTGGTTATACATGTTTTTAACTGAATAATTCTTTGTTTAAAGGAATTCATGTGTTGCTTTCTATCAGATAAGACTGTTAGAACCCTTTGGAATTCTTCCTTTTGCCTTCCTTGCCAAGGAAGTTAGTAAACCTCACCTTTGCCGGAGTTCTTGGTATGTTTGGCATATTTGCTTTCCTTTCCCACATGCAAGAAGTGATTTGTGCTTTCTTGTCTCTCCACTGTGAGATCCCCTGCTTTATATTTAATGCCTGCTTTCTTCCTGTCCTGCTATTCATTCCATAGATATTGAAAACCCACTGAGAAAATAAATAGTCATGAAACTTAACCTGTTAGTGTCCAAGACTTTCATGGTCCAGTTTTCCATTTCTACAGTATTTCTTAACCACTGCAATTCATTGGCTTCATTCACTTGTGGCGAATTCTGCTATGTTTTATAACTTCATAGCTATAAACTTTCATTTGTGGTGGTTTGATCTCGCCAACTAGATTGTAAGCTGCTTTCAGGGCAGGGACTATATCATCTGTTTCTTGGAATATTTTATGGCATGAAATATAGTGATGAGAAGGGGAAAAGAAATACCCCCCAAGAGTGACTTCCACGTAATGAATGATGAGGTCCTAGCATGTGTGTGGTGCCATCTTTCGGGGATATGCATGGAAATGTGAAAAAGTCTCCTAAGGCATTTCAAACCTTTGCTCAGTACTCACTTTTGTCTATTAACCTAGGACTGAGTGATGCAACAGAAGAAATCTGGAAAACACCTCCAGGACTTGGGAGCCACGAATTGAAAATTGAAGAATTTGGAGGTAAAGATATTTCTTTTTCCAGCTAAAAGTCTTGACTTAAAGAAGATACAGGACCTGAATCACTGAAGAAGTGGTGTGGAAAAGTTGGGTTTATCTTCTGTCTTACCATAGGATTGACGGGGTCAGAACAGTAGGCACCCAAGAAGGATTTACAGTCTGATGGCCTAATATTGAAACGGAGTAGCAGCAGGAATGTAATTGCTGTTAGGCAGGCAAGGACTGGAATCAAGAAAGGGCAGAGCTGAAGTTAAGAGGTAGGCATGAGACAGGATTTTGACCAGGGTCTCCAGTACCCAAGTTCATGTACTTTTCCCACCAAACAGGCTCTCAGTGAGTTGATAGGAATGAAAGGGAGTAAGGTGCGTGGCACTTAATAATTCTTCATGGACGCTAGTTCCCTTTCTTTCCTCTCTGGGTTTAATTGTTCGTGACAGATTGCTGCCTGTTATTGGGGTTAGGGTGAGGGTCAACAACTCAGGACTTCCTTAGCCTTCCCCTTCTAGAATTTCCCTTTCCCTGTTGATACCTTGCCTGTCTTACAGGGTGGTCACCGTAGTTATAAGGGCAATGAAAAGAAGTGCGGAGCTGTTCCCTCCCTCCCCCTCAGAAAAGCATCCATGTGTTAAAAGAATTTATTGTTTCTAGGCTTAGATAAAAAGCATCCTCCTAAGGTTAGTGGGAACTTGTAGATGTGACTGTAAAGCACCACCAGTAATTTCTGAGGGACCAGAATATAGGAAAGGTGCCAGAACACTGAGCTTGGGCAAAAGTCTAAAATTTAAGAGGTAAAGTTCTATTTCAGAAGCCACAGACCAGGTAATTTACCTTATAATATAGAAAAATTCTGAAATAGATTATTAAACAGTATGTTAAATCGGAAAGCCATGCTCATTATGAAGATATGTAGAATTGGTAAGTCAGAATAGATGCCCTTTTGGGCAGTGGTTA